GGCTATCGCGCGTGGCAAGCATGGCGGCAACATATGCAACGGCGCGGCAACACCATGAGCACGGCATCAGCACGGCATCTTCATGGCAGCGAACAGCCTCGGATACTTCGACGACGTGAGAAATCCATGGATTTGTCGACAATGCTCGGGATCTAGCTGGCAGCCCGCGCTCTGGGCCTCGAGCACATAGTTTTGGATGAAAGCTGGCCCTTGGGAAAACTGCATCGATGGAGAGGCCGAGGCCGCGAGTTTCTCATAACGTTGAGGTTCTGGCGAACCGGTTTCCCATGGACCTGCCTCATGGGCAGTTCTGTGGGCCATACTGCTCGAGGCCCGCTGATTTCGACCCCATGATGGGGGTTGGCATGCGCGCGCCAGCCACCCTCCCCCTCCTACCCCCGCATCAGCCTCTAAGAACCCCGCGGCCCCCCCCGCGGGCCGAGCTTCCATCCCGCAGCGTCAGAGGGCGCTGCCGATGAACGATCGACGATCGATGCAGAGGGGGCGCGCGTCACAGACACCTTGGAGGGCGGGAAGCCGATCGGCCTCGGCTGCGCCTCGATTGGGCGCTGGCGGCCGTCGCGGGCGCCAGCGTCCGACCAGGGGGCCTCGGTGGATATGCGCCCGCGCTCAGGGGCGCCCGGGGCGCTGCCCGGCCAAGAGGGCGCGGGGGTGAGATGAGGGGCCCTGCCCCCGTGCCGCCAACGACGGCTGCATTTGTTGTATTTGCTGCATGACAATTTTGATGTAGACGCGCTGCCTTTGAATCTCGAGAGCCACGCGGTTGCGCGCGATAACCCAGGGGGGCGGCCCCGCTTTGATATTTGTCCGACGCCGCGCCCCGCGCGCGGAAATATTTGTTTCTCGCCCATTGCCTGGGCGACTGCCTTGCCGGCCAACGGCGCGCGGAGGGGCGCGCAAATGCATTCAGAGACCCCCGGGGCCAGCGACAGGAAGGATGGGTGGTGAGTGGGGGAGGTAGCACGCGCTTAGCATGTAGCTCGCGGTTGTCCAGGGCCAGGGCCCCCAGGGTTTCGGTGTAATGTTATGCAGTGCGCGTGCGTGCCAGGCCTCTGCGAAGGTGGCTTATTGCTCGCGCGCGGAGGAGCGATGTCCGTCGCCGCGGGCGCAAAGGCTTCTGCGCGTTTGGGGCCTAGTAGCGCGCCGTCGCGTGGCCTTTCAATGTGATTGCTCCTGGACTGCGCCCGTGGAAGGGCCATGTTGATCTAGAGTTTACTGATCCATTGCGCCTCGCTCTCAGAGGCGCTCCTCTTGTTCGCGCTGGATTCAGCGGCGCTCTCTGAGAGTGCCGAGCGGACTAAGTGGGAATGATCGCCGGCCTGGGCTTGTCTCGGCTGGAAAGCGCGAGAAATCCACGCCTTGCGAAAGAAGACATGCACGATTTCCCATCGACTTGTTGAATCGTCGAAGTGGTTTCCGCGAGACCCCGCTGCATGTGATATCATGCTTCAGAGGCATGTTAAAGTTGTGCGTCTCACAACCGCTGCGAGCTTGCATGCGATGCCTCGACCAATGCCATATGATGCGAACGTGGGTGATTTTGCAACATTTAAGGCGGTGCCGCCCCTGGGCTGGAACAAAGGGTACCGCCGTATAGAGTCGGGGCTTGTTAACGACGTTCATCGTCTGGCAGGTTTGGTCGCGCCACCTGGCGGGGTTGACTTGCAAGTGTTCGGCGACTTGGACGGGGGGGGGTTGGCTTTGCGCTCGTGTGCCCATTGTTTCAGGTGGTTGGTTTCACCGCTGGCGCATATCACCTCGACATCATGCGCGCTCTCGACTTGGGCGTTTCGCAATGTGTTATCGGGGCAACAGTTTATTTGTTACGCAATTATAATTCTGACAGGTCGCAGAAGACTACTGCAGCCCTTCGCGCGCGCGAAAACCTCGTGCACTTGCGCGGGGCGGCGGGGCGTTCTCTGGGCCAGCTCGGAAACCCGCCACCCTTGCAAGGCGTTGCGTCGCATGGCCACAAGGAGAGCGAGGGGGGGGGGCAGGGGGGGGGGGGGGGGGACAGGGGGAGGACGAGGGCGACATCGAGAGCGGAGGGGGGGGGGGGGGGGGGCGAGGAGGGGGCGGGGGGGGGAACGCGAGCCGAAGCCTTGCCACGGTGGCGGTTTTCTCAATTTGGCCGGGTAAACGGTCTCACCCCAGGAGGCTGCGCCCACTCTACGCGGCGTTTCCTATGGGGGGGAAGGGGCGCCAGACTTCACCGAGACACCTGCGAGATGTTTGCATTTTCAAAAAAGCAGGGAGCGCGCCCGCGCCTCAGGGCGAAGGAGGCGGAATCGCGACATTTGGTTTCTTTCGCGCCGCAGATGTGCCGAGAGAACTTGGCTTTTCTCGGTCCAAAGAAGAGCGAGCTGGTCTCGGCTGTCGACGCTCTGCGCGATGCGCAACAGATCGCGCTGGCAGAGCCGAGAAGAACGGCTTCGGCGTCGTGCCGAGGGCTCCGACGGGCCTTCCTTCGTTTTCTCCATTTTGGATGGCCTTCGGGGGCCGCCGCGCGTTAGACGCCGCGTGACTTCTCGCGCGGCCGAATTCGTTGCCATTCACGGCAACCCCAGATACTGCCGGACCTACGCCGATGAGAACGCGAATCGTTTGATGGGCACCGCTTCCAAATCTCCGCATGCAGGCGCCACGTTCCACTCCACATGGTTGCAGAACGTTCCCCTAGAGGGCTGCTGATTGTTGCCCCTCCCTCTCCAGTCGCCGGCGTCGCGATCACCGTCGCCGCCGTAGGAGCCGCCGCCAACCATCGCGCATTCAGGGGGGTCGTGTTCTTCTGTGTCAACTCGAGAAATGACAACCGCCGGCAACCTTTCTTCTTTGCCAACTCGAGAAATGACGCCCGCTGACGCCCGCCTGGCGGGGTCGAGGAGACGAAGACACGCAGGGGGCCCCATGCTGCGTGCACCTTGTTCTGCGCGCGGCGGGGGCGCGGGGCGCCACCCCCCCCAGGAGGGCGATGGGGGAGGAATGCAGGAGGATGAAGAATCAGGGGGTGAGAAATGAGGGGGAATGATCGAGGCGGACCGCTCTGGCGGTCGCCGAAAACGGTGCGGCGAGAACGGTGCGCCGAGAGCGGTGCGACCGAGTCGCCTCTGAGCGCCAGTTCAGTTTTTCTCTCTTCCAACGAGAGAAACGACGTTTACAGGGGGGGGCGAGGGGGATTAGGATGACAAGGGGGTGTGTTTCGCTGCCCTCGCTGCAACGCTACAGGGGCAAACCGCAGCGCAGACCTCTTTGCGTGCTTCTGGTTCGTTACGTTCTCCGTTAGAGCGGAAGCGATGATGGAAGGAGGAGGGGGGGAGAGAATCGGGAGGGGGAATTGGATGAGAGAGGGGAACATTGCGATTTTAGGGGCAGTGCCCCTGCAGGTCGACGCTTTCGAGACCCGCGGCGCGGTCGCGCGCCCGCGCGGCGTGCTGGGAGCAAGTGTTTTTTGCAATTGGTGTCACCGCCGCGACCCGTTCTTCGTTCCAACGTAATACCTGGCGCGTTATGTGCGCGCCTGCGCGCGCGCGTGTTCGTGCGTGCGCGGGGGGGGTATCAGGGCGATCGCGCAGGGGATGTATTTCCTGCGGGACGCCGCTGCGCCGCCAGAATTGTTCCCGGCCAGACACGCCCGCTCTCGGTCCGCTCTTCCTGGGCGGCACTTCCCCGGCCGTCGCCCCCGCGACCGCGCCTCGCAGGCCCGCGGGTCTCGGCGTTTCGCTTTCTCTCTGGGCCAGGCCTCGGTCCGCTAGGTTGGGCGCCGCCCCCTCTGGTGCCTTTCTCTGCCCGGCTCCGACTGTTCGGCCCTTGCTTCCGCCACCGAGCGCCGCGTGCCGCCCCGCGCCCCCCCTCGCGCCTGTGGCGCAGCGCCTGCTGCTGAGGCTGGCCCGCTTGACCTCCTCCCTCTCCTTGCGCGCACCTCGCAGGCCTGCCGGTCTCGGTGCCCCGGCCTCCCCCTAGGCTGGAGGGTTGGGTCCCGCTTCGTTTTCTTGTCACCACTTGCTGCAGCTCCTGGCTGCTCCCCCCAGCTCCAGCTCAGCGCAGTTCAGTCCAGCCTGTGCCGGAGCTGCCCCCCCCCCTGCGTTGTCCCCTGCCGCTGCCGGCGCACCTTTGACTGGGCCGGTTTCCTCTCCCCCCGTCGCGCCAGGGCTTCTTCTCTGCCTCCCGTGCTTTGCGGCCCCAATTTGCATACAGTGTGCCCTTTGTTGCCACTCCGCCGGAGCAGTCGACCTCAGCCCAGCCGCCGACGCAGAAAGTAAATGTGTGTGTGTGTGTTTGTGTGTTAAGCGTGTGTGTTGGAGTGCAGGCCCCCGTGGCGGGCGGGGGCCCTCGCACCTGCCGAGGAACCAGGGCAGATCTGGCCAGGGCCTGGCGGTTGTGTATGTTGCTGCGGTAGGTTCGTGCGGCGATGGCGCGCCAGAGGCGCCGGCGAAGGCGTTCGGGGTTCGCCATGGGGGAGACGGGTCTTGAAGGAAGGAGGCCCCGAGTTTTTTCGCCGTTTTCGGGCTCCCGGGGCCTTCCACGGGCCCCGGGATTGTCAGGAAACGGCTCAGGATGAACAGTTCGTCCTGGGGGGTTGCGCCAGGGTCCAGGACCCGTTTCCCTCAAGACCCGCTTCCCCCTCTGCGACGCGTAAGCACCGACAAGCACGGTCATGCAGTTGGACCCGATGGAGTCAAATCTCGAATTCCCGGGGCCGCGATCGATTCAGGGTGGAACGATCGACGTGATGCCAAAACCCTTTGCGCGCGCCGACGCCGCACGGACTTACCGTACGCACCAAACCGTCCCAGCCCAACTCGAAGGTCCCAGACCCCCAAATTTCGGTTCGGGTTGTGTCCCAGCTTCCGTTGTATTTTCTCGGGCTTCCAGGACGTCCCTCCGCTGGGAATTGGCAGGCCCAACTGCGGTTTCGGGTTGGGCTGGGGTGGTTCGGTGGGTAGCAGCCAATATGGCTACCATTTTCCGAACATCGCAAGGTATCAAGGAGGCGATTACATCGCACAGGTCAAGGGACAAACGCCTTTCGATCTCTGGCGCAGCGCCGCTTTTGCTGGCTTCGGAGCCTACTGCGGGAGCGTGTACCACTTCGTGTACGGGCCCATATACACGTGGCTTTTCCTGTCCCGCGGAAGGGAGGGGGAGGACATAGGTTCCAGAGTCTCAAAATCACAGGGTGTACGTCCACCTCATCGATAGTTATATATTTATATATACACATATGTGGATACGTGTATGTAAATGTGTATACGTGTATACGTGTATATATATATATAGAGAGAGAGAGAGAGAGAGATATTGCTGAGGGATGGTTGGGCTTGGGCTTCGGCAGGTGTACGCCCGTGCCCGCTTGGTGTCTGTCGAGGGCCCCCCCCCCCCCCCAAATGGTGTGGTGTCCACACCCAGAGTTCATGGCTCCTCTTCTTATGTCAGTACGTCCCCGCCCCCCTCCCTTTGGGCCGCGCACGTGCCGCTGGCCATTATTTCCGCCCCCCTCTTGGACACCCCCTTTGTTTGGGCCGTTCCCGAAGAAGCACACGCGTCTTGCACCGCGTGAGCGACACCAAGAAACGGGTTCGTCTTCGCCAGCATTCGCGCGTGAGCTGCCCGCGCAAGCTCGCAGGTAAGCGCGCTCGTTCCCAATGTAGCGTGCCGCGCTGGCGGCCCGCGTAAGCCGCGGCGTGAGATCGATGTGTCATATCGCGTACGACCTAATTTTGTTCGTCGCTCACATAGGTTGCGTTACGCTATGCAGAGTGCATGACAATGTTTGCACCGCAGAGCTTGCTCCCCGTCGTTTCCTTCTCCTACGAGAGAGTGGACTCTTCCCCTTCACCGAAGCCGGGGTCATCTGCCCTCTGTTCTGTTTTTCGCCGCGTGCAAAGCTTGCGTTGCACGCGCGTTGCACGCGTTGGAGAACGCCACTCGGAAATGGAGCTTGCTCGGAGTTGCAAGTATTCCCTAGCCATGCTTGCTTCTTTGGCGTTGCTTCAGCGGTGGTTGGGATTATCTGGAGATGTATCTTGCGCATGCTTGCAAGCAGCAGGGGTGCTTTTCTCTTCATCCGATCCTCTCCTTATACATTTCTCGCGACCTCTCCTGCACTTCTCATCGTGATGACGCGTTGGGCAAAGGCACATTGTTGGAAATGCCACGTCGGGCACGGGCCCCGGGAGCGGGCGCACTCACGCGGGCCCGAAGGGGAGGCGATTATTCGCCCCACCCACCCGCAAGCATGATCTGCCACTGGCGCAGCCACATGCGCTCACATGCACATGTGTATGTCGGTATGTAGTGCGATATATGTCGATGGGACGGGCGAAAAGAAAAGTTACGAGATGAATCTGGCATTGTGATGGGTTATGAACCGTCCCTCCAAGTCTCTGGTCCACCCACCCTCCCGGGCTTCCGCGAAGCCACGGCGACCGGCTTGCCCTGGTCTGTGAGCTCCATCGACCCATCCCGCGACCTGAGCTGGGACGTCGTTCAGGCCGTGGTATGCGAGTGCGGATGATTTCCTGTATTATTTTGCATTATCGATTTTTCAGGTATAACAAAACATAGTACGGGCCAGACGGGCATTGACTCCCCCGCTCTTGCTATCTCTTGCCAAGAATCTTGTGCGGTGCACATGCGTTGACGTAAACCTCAAACATATTGTGCAGCAGATGTGGTGTCGCGCGTATGCCAACATCATTTAAATATAGTGTGTTTTGTAGCCAGGCCAGCGCACAGGAATCTCAAGCCATTAAGAATCCACTTTTTGCTCACAACTTTTGCAGCACACGATGCCAACATCCTGTGCTTGAACCGCTGAACTCATAAGAAATTCGTTACGTTGTGCCACGCTGCTATAGGAGACTATGCGGACCACACGAGAACCCGCATGCCGAACACGTGCAGCGTTTTCAACACGCCCTCGGGGCCGTCTTGGGCCTCGGGGCTCTCGTGGGCCCTTCTTTGGGCCGTGCTGAGGCCTCAGAAGCCCATCCGAAACGAAAAAAAAGAGAAGGCAAACATCATTGGTCTTCCATAGGTTGTTGAATGGTTTTAATCTCTTTGGGGAATCCGTGGGGGGTTCCGAGAGTGTTTGAAATCATCTTGTGGCTCTCTTGGGGCTCGTTGAGGCATGACTGAAGCCATCTTGAGCTAATCCTCAGTGATAGTTGGCCATCATGGAGGCCACCTTGAAGCATCGGATACCCTCTTGGAGCCATTTTGGACCACCTGCGCCCAGAGCATGGGTTTACCGGTTCGACCCCGACGAGGCCGATCCCTACCGAGGACGCGGTGTCCGCCCAGCTTCAGCTACGGCTCGCAGGCGCGTGGAATGTCCATCAAGGGCCCCAGGGCCAGCTACAAGGGCAAGCAGCTCACGCACCTGAGCGGTTATTTCACCCAGGTTCGGTTTCTCACAGGAGGGCCCGCACGCGGCGGCCGCGGCCAGGATGCGGAAGCCCAGCTCAAGCTGGACCCTGTCCGTCGGGAGGCGGAGCGTCTGCGGGCCAGGGCGCTCAAGCGCTATAAGCGCGCCCTTGGCCGTCGGGCGCGCAGCTGGGTCTCCAACCCCAGCGACCCCGACTACGTCGAGGATGAGGCCGGGTGAATGGAGAAGTGCGTACCTTACATTTTCCGCATGTTGGGGCTACCGGCGCACGTCGCCGCGGGCCTGGCTCAGGACTTCGAGGGCCGCATGCGCACGGCGCGCGACGTATGTTCGTCGGCATGGCGTCGCGGGACCCCAGGGAGGACGGAGCTGGTTCGGCTCCTTCGGCAGCTCGGCACCACCCATCGCGTCGACTGGGAGGAGGAGATCCACAGGGCGGTTGACAACTAGAGGGGGCCCAAGCGCTGGCTGGAGGAGCGGGGCGACTACAACAGGCCCTTGCCTGGCGCCGCGAGTGCCGCTCAGTCCGCCCGCGGGGCCCACGGCGACTGGGGGCCCCAAGTGGGCCAGGGAATCGGGCTCGGCAGCCAGCCCCCCGAACCGCGGGCGCCTGTGCTGTGCTCCGCGTTGGCCCTGGCCGCGCACGACGTTGGCTGGAGCGCCATCGAGGTCGGGGTGCAAGGAACGAGGCGGACATTCAAGCGCCCGGGCCGAGGTTGGCCCCCCCGCACTCCCGCTCCCGACCCAGCCTAGGACCACGAGGAGTGGATGGATCTGTGCACGCACTATGCGTTCGCACGCCTCAGCCAGTGCGGGTGCGATGGGGCGACGCAGCAGGAGCAATACGAGGACGCCGAAAACCCCGAGTTGGGTAGTGGGTTGGGAACCGCATCTGCGGAGGGGCCAGCCTGACACCAATCCAGGCCCCTGTCAGTTCCTTCGCAGCGCTCGCAGCAGCTGGAGCAGGAGGCCCAGCACTTTCGATCAACTGCGCAGTGCCATGTGCGGTCGGCTACATTCAGGCCGTCAAGCTCTTCATGCGGGAGCGCAGTGGCCTGCCGACGGACCCCGGCGACAGCAGCGACGACGGCAGCAACGGCAACGGAGGTGCAAGCGGCAGCAGAGGCCGCCTAGGCGCTACGGCGCCGCGGCCCCCTTCCACCGCGGGCCTGCCCCTGGGCGCGCAGTGGGCTGCGCGCGTCGCACTGGCTGGGGACTGCCCCGAGCTCCTGCCTTTGGAGGAGTGGGCGGCGCAGGCCAAGGATGAGACTGAAGCCGAGGGAGCTGCCTTCGCAGCCGTCCGCAGCCAGGGCCTCATCGAGTGGATCTACAACTCCCTGATCGCGGGCGCTGGGGTCTGCGCGCCTATCGGCGAGGCCCCCGAGGCCGGGCGCCCCGCGACAAGTTTCACGGCGCCCCCGCTCGCGGCCCCGACCGCGCCAAGGCCGCGGCGGCGCAGTGGTCCTCAGAGGTCTGGGGGGCCCGCCAGGGCAGCGACTGCCCCCGTCTTCGGCGCCCCCCGAACGACGTCGAGGCGCTCCCCCGACCCGCGGCCGACCGCGTCCGCAGGGCCGCCAAGACCTTCCGGCGCAGCACGGGGGTCGACAGTGACCGGCTCAACCCCGGAAAGGTCGCCGACCTCAGCGACCAGCTCTTCGAGGCCGCGATCGACTTCGGCATGAAGTTCGAGGAGCTTGGAGGATGGCCCGACGTCATCACCGGCCCGCTGTTGGTCATGCTTCCTCAGCCCCAAGGTGGCGTTCTGCCCATTGGGCTGCTGGGATGGCTCCCGCGCCTCTGGAGTCGCGCCCGTCAGCCCGATGCGAGGCGACGGGGTTCCCAGATCGACCCAGGCGTAGCGGGCTCCTGTTGGGGCGGCCGAGGGCGCCCGGCCGAGGAGGCCGTCTGGTGGCCGGCCCTGCGGTTTGAGGCCGCTCGCGCACGAGGCGAAGGAGCAGCTGCCGCCCACGTACGTAGACCTTTGGAATGCGTGCGAGCTGGTGGATTTGGCGATCACCCAGGTGCGGGGCATCTTGGCAGGTTACCTGCGGGGGCTCCTCGGCATGGCCCTCGCGCTCTACTACGGCGAACGGCGGTTCATGCTCGGCGGCAGTGTCTGGGAACCCTTCCTGCTGGGCGCGGGTCTCATTCTGGCTGTTCGCATGCGGGGGGGCTTCTCAATAGCGGCCTGGTGGTCCTCGCCGACGAACCCGTTCGGCCGTGGCGAGTGCTGGAACCGCGCGTCACGCTCGCGATCATGTTCGGCTGCTGCTGCGCGGGCTGTCGCGGCCCCATGTCACAGGTCGCGGCATGCGTGGTAATTAGTTGGTGGCGCTCGGCTGCATGGTTTCGGAGTCCAAGAGCGAGTTGTAGGCAAGCTCGCCCGAATTGGCTTCGCTCGTTGCCAAGCAGATGGGCGACCAGGCTTTCCCCGTCGCGGACTCGGTCAAGAACCTCGGCGTGGACTACTGCCTCGACGGTCAGGCCTTCGTCGCCCTTGAGATGCGCCGCTCGAAGGCAGCCGCGCAGCTCCAGATGCCGCGCGCGATCCGATCGCAAGAGACACTCGCCGCGGCGAGGGTCGCCAACACGGGCCTCCGGCCAGCTACACGGCACGGCCTAAGCGCGGCTGGCTGGCTTTCTCGCGTGGCAAACTTTGGGGGGGTTGGCCCAGGTGCGTAGGTTCGCCCACGCACGGGGCCGGGCTCTGCACCCATTGGCATAGCAATCGGTCCGTGTGCGAGGCCAGGTGCCTTGGGTCGAGTTGCTGTGCTGATGCTTCATCACCTGTGCTGCGCGCCGCTCTTGCTTTGTTCAGGCGTGGTACGTTGGTGCCTGCAGGCTCTGTCGCATGAGCGGAAGCTGAGCCAGGTGTGTAGTGTCGCTTACACATAGGATCGACCTCCGTTGCCAACGGCGTTGCAATTGTCCCTTTTTGGGCCTGCCCCAGAAGTATTGCGCCGCTGGTGGCGAGGTGCTGTCCTGCGGCGCGGCGCCCGACGCGCGCTTGTTCTGCCTGGCTCAATCTGTCTGGCGCGAGGCGCCATTTCATACCAGCGGCTTGACCGCTGTGCTGCGCTCGCCGGCAGCAGCAGGCTGCCGCCCCCTTTTTTACTGCCGCGAGGCGCGCTTTCCGTGCAGCTCTGCCCTCCGCTCTCGCGCTGGAGCGGGCCCCGCGCCATTGGCAATGCAACCAGTCCGTCTCAGTGGCCAGGAGCTGAATCGACGGGTTGCGCTGCTGATGGGTCCCGGAGGAGCGTTAGCCCTCGTATCGCGTGCTAGCGCGCCATCCGTTCAATGTAGCTTCTGGCGCGCCGCGCGCGACAGCTGCCCGCGCGTCTGTCGGCGTGGAGGGCGACCCGAGAACGTAGGTTCGCCCGCGCTTTGGTTCGAACTCCGAGGCCTGAGGAGCAATCGCGTTGGTCGTAAGGCCTGGAGCCGTGTATTTGGTTGCTCCTCAGGCGCGGCGCACAGCAATGCCGTGTGCCAGCACGCTTGTCTGACCAGCGTGGCCTCTTCTAGCTGCCGCGCGGGCTGAGTCGTTCCGACAGCTGGGATCGGTCATCCGTTTGCCTCGGCTGAGGCGGTTGGTTGTTTTCGGCACTCGGTCGAATCTGCGCGTGTGCGCCGAGCGTTGCCACCGCAGGGCTCAAGGGAAACGCCTCGGTCCGAGGGGCAGCACGAGCTAGAAACTTACGTCCTCTCCAGACGCAGGGATCACCATCATCATCCGGAACATCATCCTCATCATCATCATCATCCGCAGAGTCGGTATAATATTCATTATCACCACCACCACCATCATCATCACGACCACCGTCATCTCACCGCAACATAACAAACCATAACCTATGATACCTTACCGTATCGTTATGTCAGCATAACAACATAACCTTCCATACTGATCATAACACACCATACCATGCCATGCCATAACATACCATACCATCTCATAACGTGATATCGCATACCATAACACATAATAACAGGAAGACGGAGGGAGAACTTGTGAGTCTCGGCGCTGTCGGAATAATAACAAAACCCCATCCTTCGGATGGGGGGAAAACCATCGTCATTCTCACGCCCGAGCCCTGGATCTGCACGATCAAGGGTCCTCTGGCAATGGCGCCAGCCGAGCCTCTCCAAAACAAATCGGGTGGGTGGGTGGGATGTATACTCCAGCGTTGGAGTTTGCGACTCCACGCTCTTCAAACCCATGTGTCCCCCATTTCACGAAAATTGACCACATAGATTACATAACACCCCATTGGCGGCATCACACAGCAAGTCGAGACTGCAGGAGCCCAGTGTTTGGGGTCCATTTCGATTTTGGAATTATGAGCGTGTTAGAGCCTCCGTGGATGGACGGACGGCCGAATGAGGAGGTCTGGGAGGCTCTCAAACCTTCAAAGTGGAGGTTCCACCGCCACTTTGCATTTTATCTATACACATCCTGGGAGTCTGCTCCTGATCCTTGTGAGATTGTGTTCGTTTTGTCTGGTTTGTTTCGGCTAGATGAAAGTTCAAGAGCCCAGGGGGAGTGGAGTGAGGAGAAGGGTCAGGAGGAACCAGAGGCAGAAAAGGGGCAGGACGGGGGGGGGGGCAGGGGCAGGGGGTGGGGAGGAGTGGGGGCATTGCCGGTGATCCTGTTCGACATGTCGGTCACCGTGCAGGTCCTGTATTTCCCGGTGTACTACGCCGTGCAGGAGGTCGTCCGGAGCGCGACCCCAGCTTGGGGCCGGGTATGGGCGGACCTCAACGCCAACAGGTGGACCAGCATGAAGAAACTGTACGGTTAATAGAGCCCCAACCCTGCCAAGTCGATTGGCGATTTTTCTTGTGCGGCTCCCGAGCGGGTGCAGCGGCCGCAGTTCGCGCGCTGCAATGGTAGTCATTACGGCCCCCGTGAGGGGAAGCGGGTTCAAATAAAAAATCTGAGGTGGGGCTCAGTTTGGCGGGTGTTTGCGGTGTGAAAAACATGTTCAGGAGTTTCTCAGGAGGTGTTCAGGATGTGCTCATGCAGCTCTCGGGAGATTCTTCGGAACCTAGGGAACTTCCGCCAGGGAACCAATCCTTCAGCCGGGGAGCTGCTTTTGTTGTCACCCCGGGACCCATGAGCGGCAGCATGCGTCCCAGGTTGGGTCGGGCCCAATCCAGCTAAAAGGGGCGTTACCTTGGTGTTATAGATATCATATAGGCGGCCACAGGATGGGCACCAAATCGTCACCATATTGAGGGCCGTGGTGACATCGCCAGCCTGGTGCGAAGAGGCCCAGATACAAATTGCGCTAAATCAAAAGAGGAAAAGGGAGGAGTGAGATGAGGGAGCGGCAATTGGAGGGGGGAGTGAGAGATGGGGGATGTGGAAAGGACGACGAGGGCAGGGGGCAGGGGTGCACATACCAGGGCAGATGGCGTCGCATGAATCTCGGAAACACCGTCGAGATGAAATGCCACTCACCGCGCCGTTGGGTCAAGTTCGGCACTGGATTCGCCGGTGTCGGTGCCTGTGGCGCTCCGCTGGTGCCAGGGGTGTCGGGCTGGCAAAAGTATTTTTACCTGCCCCAGCCGGCGGTCACCGCGGATTTTCGCCAACCCTGTAAAAAATGGGGCCGGCAAACAATGGGTGGCTTTGTTTGGCACCGCGCGGGGGGGGGGCCGGCAAACATATTTTTGCCAGCCCCTCCCCGCTGGCACCATGCGGGGACGGAAGCGATGGCGGCGTCCAGGCATCGTTCCTGTTCGGTTGCCCGGGGCCCCGCTGGAGGCCAACCGAGGCATCAGGAGCATCCCCGGGGGTGCAAAAGCATCGGGGACTCAAGGAGCGCATGCTTCAGGCGAACCACAATTAGAATTGCAAGCGCCAGCTCTCACACTATACCCATGCACGTCCCACGTCTTCCCTCCATGGCCCGCGCCTTGGCATGCGCATATGAAGACCAACGCGCGCCTGGCAACTTATGTTTTGGTGACCGTCCAGATCTTGCCAGGCATGCGGTGTCACCGCGCTACCCCCCAAGGTACAGCTGGGCTGGGCCCGGCCCAAGTCCCAGGATCAACAGCGGGTTTGGGAGAGGAGAGCCCCGTGGCGAAAACAGCGGGGGCAGAGGCCGATAGCAGTTCCTGCCCATTTTGAGAGAGGCAGGATCCGCTGGTCGTGCCGCCGTGGGCGCGCCCGTCAGGAGCGAACGTCGCCTGCCCGAGAGCGGCCACTGCCGGTTTTCCAGGTCACCCCCATGGCCAGGCAGATACCAGTAGGGGAAGAAACACACAGACACGATTAGTCGTCGATCCCCGGGGAAATATGGGAAAATATGGGAGGTGGGGGGGGAAGCGAAAATCCAGAACATATGGGAAAACATGGGAATCCTGCGATACTAGTGTCTACTTATTTGTGTGACCTCGGGCCCTTTTTTAAGATAGCCGCGCTTCGCGGCATCGCGGACGGGTCCGGGGAGGCGCTCTCCTCGAGCGCGGGCGCCACGTGGGCGCAGAAATAAGCGGCGCGACGTGTGGTGGCCCGGGTGTTTCTCGACACTAGATTTAAGTCGGGCTGTCCCTCTGCATGGGGAATATTCAAACATATAATCAGTCCAGGGACGATTGTTTTACTTTTTTTGAGCATTTTGGGATTATTTCTTGTCTATTTTTTTCATCCAAAATCTGCTGTAGGGGGACACGCCCGACCTACCACTAGTTGGTGGGCATCGTTTTCATTTTCGGTGGCCACATGTGATCCTTACCCCCACCCCCCACGATTTCTAAAGAGGGGTGTGGGTTCACTCCGCTCAGGACCTCCCGAGCGACATGAACCCCCACCCCCTTTCGAGATCGTGGGGGGTGGGGGTAGGGTTCACATGTGGCCACCAGCATGTTTTTGCCCCCATCGGGGGCGTGCCCATTTATGATCCGTCTCCCTTCGGGCAGGCCTGATTAGCGCAACTGTAGCTATAGTCGCTCCAGAGCGATCCAGCATGCTTTCGGAGCATCCTGGAACCTTTTCTGGAACGGCGCCCGATAATACTCCGCGCCCTATGCATTATCCAAGCCCGCAAGTGTTGCACAAACCCAGAAGGCATTCGAAGGCCCCTGCGCTGTTGCGTAGAACCGTCTTCAGATTCAGGCGACAATTCGTCGGGCCCTACGGCCTTCCCTCTTTGTAATTTCGCCAAGTACTGTCTTCAGTTCAGTCGATAAAAAACTTTGACGTATTGGGAGGAAACGTGACGTGTAATTATGGCCCATGGGGTCGTGGTTGCCCATATTTTGAATTCATCAGAATCGTCGGGTTCCTGGGCCTGGGCCCCTTCTGAAGACTTCTTGTGGCAAGAGCCCTGAGGCATCCGATGTCTTGTTTTTTTCACCGCGGGGTCCCCAGACGTCCTGGATCTTTCCCCAGGGCCGTTTTTGCAGAACTGGTCCTTTTTGGATCGTTCCATGGCCTGGAGAAGGCCCTGGGAGGGAGGTTGAAAACAGCCACGGTATCCCGTCGGGATTATCTTAAGGCGCAAGCTTGTTTGCATTCGAGAGGTGGGACGACACGCGATCGCTCTGCTCGATCTACCTGCCGCTCGCATGGCTGAACTACACCTACGTGCCCTCGGCCTGGCGGGGCACCTTCTCGGGCGTCGCGGGCATCGGCTGGGCGGTGCTTCTGTCACGCACGAGGGGCGAGCGCCGGACGGAGTAATTCGGGCTCGCGGCGCGAGATGCGGCGCGAGGTCGGTGTCGGTGTGTTCCCAGGCGCGAGGTCGGTGTCGGTGTCGGTCAAGTCGGCACCGAGGCCGACTCGATCCTCCGAAGAATTGGCTTCTCCCTTCCCAGACGCTTTTCTTGCATTTCGGCCCCAAGAGGTCGCGACGCCAGAGGTCTGCGCCCCCGAGTGCACCAACGTAGGAGGAGCGGGATGGTACATTGTTATAGGGCCTGCCCTGCAGGCCGTTTGTGTTGACCTTCTTCCCTCCTCGCTGCAGTTATTCTTTTCCGCATCGTCGATGCGCGTAGTGTTCACCCCTGCTTTCTGTGAGTTTGCATGATAGCCAGCTGCCTGCGGCAAGTCCCGCCACCGTGCCAGCCTAGCAGTCTTGGAGGCGATTGTTCGAGGGGCTACGGAAGGCCGTAACGTGTGATGATTCGTGTCCCGAGGCAGCGGGAGAGCCGTACCGTGGAATGCTTTCTTCCGCGTCGTTCTGGTGCCGAGTCAGGGGCCAGTGCGGATGTTTGATCCACGAGTGTCGGCCACACGGCCGGGTCAGCTGATGACGCAGTTGCGCCCCCCGCCCCCCTCTTGCTCTCCCTCTCTTGCCCATTCCCCCTTTCGGGGCCCCGAGGCTGTCTGGCCGCAGTGATTTCTCACGTTCGGCGGAGGCTGCGCTGCGCGAGCGTCCCGCTGTTCTGCAGCAGGCGGCCCGGGCCGCGCGCTTTTTTGTCGTTGGCAGCACCGCCCATGGCTCCAAGAGGAGAGTCACTGGCTCGAGGCTCGAGCAGGAGCTCGGAGGCAGAGGGCCTTTTGGCATAACAGAAACGAATTCGCCCATATTGATCGAGACCTGACCTGATCCTTATCAGGACGAAGGCCTTTCCTGAGGCGTCGCATGTTGCGAATGCTGGTGATGGTGGGCGGCCCGCGATCCGGCCCGCGAGTGGCCGAAGCGTGCCCAGAGGGTGAAGAGGCTGTGCACGTTGCTCCCTTGGTCCCGTCACGGTTTTGCAGGAGTTTCAGTTTTGTAGCTCGGAGGGCTTGGGGTCGGGGGGCGAGAGCACTGAGGTGCCACAGCTCCGCCAGGACCTCTCTGTACAGTCCGTCAGCCCACGACAAAAGAGAGACTCGTGAGGCGTACGCATGCGAGAACAAACAAAAACATCGAGACGCGAAGCTAGTTAAGTCAGCGAAGAGGCAAAGGGGCGGATCTGGGCCTCTGGGGCCCATTATCGGGACCCAGGACGATAAAAAGTTGTTCCGGGGCGAAAAGCCCAGGAGTTCTGCGGCCGTGGATGGCAACAAATTACATCGGAGGATCATTGGAGCCAAGGCGGGCGGGAAACGCATCCACATCCACGGCCTCGCGGTCTGGACCCAGACCCCCGACGTTGTGATGCCTCTTCAGCGCGGACCCATGGAGCTGCCGGCTCCTCCTCCCCGTGCCGGTGTTTCACCCCGGGCCGTGCCCTGGCCCTCGGCGGCCCCCGGGCTCTGGCCCCCCAGAGGACAAAGTCGGCCCGCCGTCGGCGCCCGCCCGCCCGCAGCGTCGTTTGTCCCAGGATGCGCGATTCCACTGCTCGGTGTGCCGCCCCGACACGCCTGCGGAGCGTCCGCCGGCACTACGAGCAGGCATGTGGCTTCTCGAGGCGCAAGGAGGTCGTTGTCGTTCCCGACGGGCCATGGTGCCTCGTCCCCGCCAGCCCGCCACCTTAGTCGGGGATTTCAAAACTCGAGACCCGAAGCATGCAGCCCGTATCCCAGTCTAGTGGGGTGAATGAGCCCGTGGGGCCAAGGCCACGCGAGTTGGGACAGGGATCGGTTGAACGATGCTCAAAGAAGTCTGGGTGCCCAGAACCGCGATGGCACGGATCCCTGGGGGTAGGAGCATGACCACGAAAAATTGTGTTCGCAACCGCCGCCGCGCACGGTGCAGCGGACATGCTTCGGAGTAGACTCGCGAGTGTGAGACGTCCAACTGAGCAAGGGCATTCTGTTTCGGACTAAGGCCTGCGTACGTTGGTGTGTACATGTGGGGTAACCAGATCCGGGCATGTCTGCTGCTCGTGGCACCGTCTGGTGCGCGGAGGCGGTGGTGGATTTTCGTCTGGCGGCCGACGCAGGAGGCCTCATTCCAATGTTCTTTCTCCACAGCCGCCGAGGCGGCCGAAAGCGCTACTCAGTAAAAATGGAGTCTCGCTGTGCTGTCTCCTCATTGCTGGGGAGGACGGGGAGGGAGGTGAGGAGGGAGGAGGGATAGGGAGGAGGAGGAGGAGAAAGAGGAGGAGGAGGAGGAAAAGGATAGGAGGAGGAGAGGCAGGAGAGGGTGGAGGAGATGGAGGAGTGAGGAGGAGGAGCAGGGGAGGATGGGGAGTCCCAGACCTCGGAATCGATGTTTTCGGTGTTCGATGTTTTTAGACGATTACGTTGGTTCCCACAGACTTTCTGTCCCTGGACAAGAATCTGTCCCCAGGGAAGGGGGCGAGACCCCTTGAGCGGCGCGTTGACAAACATCACATCGTCGGATGTCCTGGTTCGGCAATGTTTTCGGACGTTTTCCCAGAGGCGCACCCGAGGCCCAAACCGTCCAACTTGAGTGATCCAAGACAGCGGCACGAGAGATGAGGTGGTGTCAAAAGAGGATCCCATCACGACTAAAATTGACAAAGTGGGTCCTCAACCGGCCCAGGAAAACTCCATGTCGGCCCCAGGATGGCACCAAGAGACACCCAGGACCGCCCCAGAATGGCCCAATGAAATTCCCGCGAAGGTCCAAGAAGCCCCCATGACATCCACCCCCCAAGATGGCGCCGCTATGGCTGGAGGTGGCCAGGCACTTCCTCAATGACGAACGCGAGACGCCCAAACCGTCCAACCTGAGGGATCCAAGACAGCGACACGAGAGATCAGGCGGTGTCAAAAGAGGACCCCCTGACGGCAAAAATGGTCCAAGAGGCCCAAGATGCCAGGGACACTTTTTCCGCAGCCATTTTGGCTCAAGCGGTTCCAATCGAGGCTGTCACATCACGCGGCGGCCGTTTGCGTTGTCACTCCCTGTCAGACTTCAACTCGATCAAGAAACCCATCCGACAATGCGTGAGGCGATCTGCATCCACATTGGGCAGGCGGGTGTGCAGATTGGCAATGCGTGCTGGGAGCTTTTCTGCCTTGAGCACGGAATCCAGCCTGACGGCCAGATGCCTTCTGATAAGACGATCGGAGGCGGCGACGATGCCTTCAACACGTTCTTCTCCGAGACTGGCGCCGGCAAGCACGTCCCCCGCTGCGTGATGGTCGACCTTGAGCCCACTGTGGTCGATGAAGTACGCACGGGTACCTACCGTCAGCTGTTCCATCCTGAGCAGCTCATCTCCGGGAAGGAGGACGCCGCAAACAATTTCGCGCGAGGGCATTATACCATCGGCAAGGAGATCGTCGACCTCGTTCTCGATCGGATCAGGAAGTTAGCCGACAACTGCACTGGCCTACAGGGCTTCATGGTCTACAATGCCGTCGGCGGAGGCACCGGGTCTGGGCTCGGCTGCCTGATGCTAGAGCGATTGTCTGTAGACTACGGGAAGAAGACGAAGGTGTCTTTCACCGTGTGGGCGTGCCCGCAGGTCGCCACCGCAGTGGTGGAGCCGTACAACACGGTGCTCTGCGTGCACTCCCTCCTGGAGCACACAGACGTCACCATCATGTATGACAACGAGGCGTTGTACGACATATGCCGCCGCAACCTTGACATCGAGCGCCCTACTTATACGAACCTGAACAGGCTGCTGGCGCAGATCATCTCCTCGCTGACTGCGTCCTTGCGCTTCGACGGTGCTCTGAACGTGGACATCACCGAGTTCCAGACGAACTTGGTGCCCTACCCGCGCATTCACTTCATGCTCTCCAGCTATGCACCCGTGATCTCTGCGGAGAAGGCGTACCATGAACAGCTGTCAGTGGCGGAGATCACCATGTCCGTCTTCGAGCCCGCATCCATGTACGTGAAGTGCGACCCTCGTCATGGCAAGTACATGGCATGTTGTATGATGTACCGTGGAGACGTCGTGCCCAAGGATGTGAACGCTGCGGTAGCTACTATAAAGACCAAGCGCACCATTCAATTTGTGGATTGGTGCCCCACGGGCTTCAAGTGCGGCATCAACTACCAGCCTCCTACTGTGGTCCCTGGTGGCGACCTTGCTAAAGTGATGCGTGCCTGCTGCATGATCAGCAACTCCACCGCCATCGCAGAGGTCTTCTCGCGCATCGACCACAAGTTCGATCTCATGTATTCGAAACGCGCGTTCGTGCACTGGTACGTGGGCGAGGGCATGGAGGAGGGTGAGTTCTCCGAGGCTCGCGAGGACCTGGCGGCGCTGGAGAAGGACTATGAGGAGGTGGGCATCGAGACCGCAGAGGGTGAGGGCGAGGAAGAGGGTTACGGCGACGAGTTCTGAGCAGGCTGCAACAGGAGCAGCTACACGAGGGAGGCCGACCGAGGAGTCGCGATCAGATCGCTGAGAGACGGCTTGCTTCCACGACTTCTTAAAGACTTGCGTGCTTCCACGCAGTAGATCGGCGTGTCTTCCACGCTGACCTTTGGCTGTTCACTTGCTCGACACATCTTGACTCTGGGTGGCCGACTTGCTAGACCGCCTCGTGTCCCTGCCACCTTGTCACCGCCTTTGCAGAGGACAACTGAGCAGAATGCCAGGGACACCGTTGAGCTGTTGTAAGGCTCCTCGGAGGAGACTGGAGACTAGTGCGCGCCTCGGTCCTTCTTCAAACTCCACCGTCCCCCTTTATTCTGGGCTACGCAGGTAGTGCGTCGTCGTCTCACGTGGTTGTTCGTGCCGCAGCATGCTGCCAGCCATAGAGGCGGGTGCCTTCGCATCACTTGCTCGTTTCTACACTGACCGCGTGCTAAATAACACATTTGTGTGCGTGTTTGTGTGCGTGTGTGTGTGTGTGCGTGTGTGTGTGTGTGTGTGTGTGTGTCTGCGTGTGTGTGTGTGTGTGGTTGTGTGGTTGTGGAGGGGACATTTCGGCACTGATACGTTGTTCGTGAACCCATGTACGCTGGCCGGTGCAAAACGACAGCGGTGCGTGATCCAGCTCATGTTGACCTTCCAGATGTGGAGGAGGAGGCGGAGGAGAAAGGGGAGGGGGAACGGAGGTCAGGAGAGTGGTGGTCAGGAGTAAAAGGGAGGGGTGGGGCATTTTGATGGGGGGGTAGAGGGGACGGAGTGGAGGAGAGTCGGGGGACGAATGGGGAGAAACCTCATCGCGCGCGCCAAGCGCGTGAGTGGTTCTAGTATGACAGTACGTATGCAGATCTATAGGCAACTAGTTTGTTATGAGGCCGACTTATCGGTATTAAGATCATAGCGATATCGTTTGTACATGCAGATATTGAAATAATGATGTCGGGCGACGGATCGTGTGGAAGTCTTGGGAATCTACATCCTGATAGTCTCATGTATATACTCAGCCAGTCTATACTTACATGTCTGTGTACGCATGCGTAGCTGTCCATGTATACGTAACAAGGAATGGGTAGATGCATGTGTATATATATATATACATATATATGTGTATATATACAGACGGACAGAAAAAAAAAAACAGACTGACAGACAGACCGACAGACAGGCAGGCAGACAGACATACAGTCATACATACAGACACACACACATGCCTACACATTCATATCTGTATATATAAATATATATGGATTCACAGACCTATGTCTCCATACATATATACACATACGTATATACATACACGTAACTATATTGAATCAGTGCGCCCCCCCAGCCCCGCCCACCTCGATAACATTTGCGGCACATTCAATTCCGGGTACCACCCTCCCAGGTCCAAGAGAGCCTTCAGAGGCGTGAAAGCGGCCCAGGACGCCCCAAAGATAGCCCAAGAGTTCTCCAAGACTGCCTATGGCCTCTCGACAGCCCTTGACGCGCCCAAGAGGTCCCCGAGAGGCCCTTAAGAGCCCCAAAAAGGCCCCGAAGAGGCCCCAAGAGGCCCCAGGAGACGCCCCCAAGATGCTCCAGGAAGGCTTTGACGACACCCCGAAGGCGCCCCCAGGAGACTGCGCCGCTCCCTTTTCCCTGATCCGTTTTCCATGACCCTGGTCTCCTCCTCCGTTTTCCCTGCTGCGTCCTTTTCCCCCCTCCCTCCTCCTCGTCTCTCCTTCACTTCTTCCTCCCTCCGCCTCCCTCACCAGGCATCCTGCCTCACGCAGCGATAGGACGCCCAGCTTGAAAAACACATGGGATTCCCACACATCCAGTTTTTTAGTTCGACCCCCCCTCCGCTTCTTATGTCCCAGGCTTCGGCGTGCCCCAGAATGCGTTTCCGTCTCCTCATCCCCCGTTGTCCGTTCTCTTTGACCTTTCCCTGCGTTTGGTCCTCTTCCGTCTTCCGCTCCACATCTTTCTCCTTCTTTTCTTCCTTCTGTTTCCCCGCTGTGTCCTTTTCCCCCTCCCTCCTTGTCTTTCCTTCACTCCTTCTTCCCTCCGCGTACCTCCCAAAGCATCGTGTCTCGCCAAGTAGTCGGATGCCCAGGTTGAACAAAAACAGGAAATCCATTCAAATCAATTTTGCTTCGAGTTCGACCGCGCCCCTCTGTTTCCTCCCGTACTGCCGTCGTCGCCGTCGTCGCCATCGTCGTGTTTCCTATCGCCGCCTCCTGGGCCTCCCCCTGGCCGCCCCAGACACCCTCTGGGGAGCACGGGTAAGTGACGAGAGCGACGCAATAGGGCCAAAGACGCCCCGATATGGCCCCCTCACGGCCCGAAAGGCCCCCAAGACGCCTTAGGAAGACTCCAAGATGCTGCCCAACATCTGACGGCCAAAATTGCAAAATTGCAGCATCCCCAGAAAGCAACGCCGATGCTCAGCAGATCCGCTGTTTGAATCGTCACGGCGTCCAGCACGGCCCCAGAGGCTTTCAAGATCGCCCGAAGGCGGCCCAAGAAGCCCCCTGGAGGGCCCCAAGACGGCCCCAGAGAGCCCAGCCCAAGAGGTGCCGAAGACGACCCAAGAGGGGAGAGGCGCAGGAGAGGGAACCCGAACAAGCCCTCTGCCCCAAGTGGACCCCCGAGGCCACCAGCAGGGCCCCAAGAGGCCTCCCAAAGGCTTCCCATGGCTCCCAAAGAGGCATCAATGGCCTCCACACGGTCTCCAAGATGCCCCGAAAAGTTTCAAAAGTCGTTCCACGAGGCGCCCGAGAAGCATGCCAAGAGACCTCTCACTACAGGTATCCAGAAAGCAGTTAGTCCCAATTTCAGGCACGGTGGTGCTGTGGGCCGAAGGCCGTAGACGAGCAAACCAGTGGCCCGGCGACGGATCTATCCGTACGCAGTTCACATGTAGCGCAGGGCGCGGCCCTCTCTTCGTATATTGCGCGCCGCGGGACTGCGCTGATAGCGGGCTGCTGCGGAGCAGTCGTGCACAGGCGCGCTGAACTCCGTGTCGGGCACGATCCGCGTGAAAGGAGTGCCGACTACTTACTCCAGGTGCTTTTGCGCGAACCCGCCTGCTGAGGCCACACGCGGAGCTCCGTGCGAGGCATGTGTCAAAATGGGCGGGGGGACACCATGCGAAGTACTCACTGGTGCCATAGGTGGGGCCAGTTCCAGGGCGCGACTCGCGTGAACAGGTCGCCGACATGGGCGGCGGACGATTTGGCAAACTTTGTCTCTGGGGCTGTGGGTGGTGCTCCCTGTCTGGCACGCTCCGCGTGGGGGGTGTGTCGCAACGGGGCGGGGAGGGCTATGCAAACCTTGACTCTGGGGCTGTCGGCGGAGCTCCCTGTGGGGCACGACCAGTGTTAGGTGTGCCGAAGTAGGCGGGGTGGTGGGATGCGGACCTTGCCTATGGGGCCGTGGGTGCAATTCCCTGCAGGGCACGATCCGTGTGAGAGGCGAGCCAACGTGAGTGGGGCGACGCTGTGCGAAGCTTCCCTGTACGTGCAATTACTTGCGTGGCAGCACTGTGAAGGGCGTGCCGCCATGCAATGGGGCCGTAGGTGGAGCTCCTTGTGGGGCACGATTCTTGGGAGGGGTTTGCCGAGATGGGTGGGGGGGGGCGTAGGTGGAGCCCTTGAGAGCATGGTCCGTGTGAAGGATATGCCGAAATAGGCGGGGAGATGCGATTCGGATTTGCATGCCCACGATAGCGCAGGTGTTCCCACGTGGTGATCGTGGTTGGATGGCGCACGTACCCGTTCGCTGATAAATCCGTCGCTGGCTGTTCCTTGGCTAGAACATAGGCGCGCGAACGGCGCGTGCTGTTCTAGTATGTCTGCATGTATGTATACATATATATATATATATATATATAGGTATGGCCCGATCTAGCGTGTCCCGATCGCTGTCCCATAGTCATCCCGATGGTGCGCTATATCGACTCTTATGGCTATCGTGAGATCGATAGTCCAGTCGCGGCACCGATTGCTTTATAGAGAGAGTGCTATATACAAATGGGCCTGTACATCGATATTCAGATAAAGGTTCTGACACATATATGTATATAGACGCTGACATCACTATCGTTATATGCGTCTGCACACTTGACTATAGTATTGTGAGCGTGTACGTGAGATAATGTACTGGCATAGCCATAATGACCGATGTACATCTATACATAGATGTACATGCGATATATATATATATATATATAGTTAGATGTGCAGATTGAGGTTGTTCGATGGATGGAGACGATTGTCCCGTCGTTGGTTCCCTTCACCTCTGTGTCGGCCTTTGGCTGGTCTGATAGGTGTGATTTGTCCCCAGCCCTCTTGTGGCAGGCTCTCGTTTTGAGTAGAGCGCTGCTCGCGCGTCTTCTCCTTTCTACCATCATCCTCCTCGTCGCCTCCGGCCTCCTGCATCCCTTCCTTCCTACCGGGGAGCTGCGACCGGATCAATTGTCACCGCTCTCGTGGGCGTCTGGGTGGCACGGCGGAGGGCAGAGCAGCTCAGGTCACTCTGAGACCTCGCGGCTCCCTGGGGGGTCGCGACCTGCGCAGCTGTCGCCTCTTTTGCGGGCTCCTGGGAGGTACGGCGGAGCGCAGTGTGCTCACATGGCCCGTGCCCGCATTGCGCGTGGAGCCGTCCTGTTATCCTGCGCGCGGCGCTGCTGCATCACAGAGCAGAGTGCCAGAACCTCACGTAGCGCCTGGTGTCGTCTTCAGTGGCCCACTCACCCCCTCCGTAGGGTGTCTGTCGCCCGCAGCAGCAGCAGCAGTAGTGGTGAACCGAGCAGATGTGGCGCATGTCGCCGTAACGCCCACTGTTTCCTTCTCCTCGTCCTCCACTTTGTCCCCCGGTCTATGAAGCTTGCCGAGCTTGTCACTGCCGTCCCTTATGCGATCTGAGATGCGCAGGTGTGCGACGCGCGTGGCCCGATGTTGTTTGTCAAGGTACTTCAGAGCGCCGCGCATCTCGCAACGTGTTCTTTCGTGTGAGGCGTGCACATGCGCACTCACATCGCGTGCACACGGTTTGGGCGCGTCTCGGGCAATTCCCTCCGCGGCCCCAGAGGTCCCAACCGCTTCCCAAGGGGCAGTCTTGCGCCCCGGATCCACCTGCTGTGGTCCCGGGGCCCGACAGCGGGCCCCGGGGGCCGATCTCGACGGGAAGCTGGGGGACCTCAGATCTCGTATCGTCGGAGTCTTGGGCTGCCCCGCGGCGGCAGCGAGAAGCCTCCAGGCTGACGGCATCGACGAGGTCGGTTCAGGCGGCGGCCGTGGGCATCGCTGGTTGCGGCGGCGCCGCGCCAGGCCTCGGCCCTGGGGCGGCGCAGCCGTGTGCCCCAGGGAGGCCATGGGCGTCGAGGGCGCCGCGGTGGCGCGCCGCTCCGCTGCCGCTTCCCCTGCAGGGCTTCTTTCGATTCCTCCGATTCGATTCCATTCGGTTTCGATGGATTCCGATTCCGATTTGATTCGACTTCGGATTCCGATTGGGGATCCGATTTCTCAATGGAGGCCTACTAGCCTGCCGACGTCTACCCATTCGACTTTTCACGACTCGGCTGCCGGTTTCCGCCGATCCGATTCATGCCAGTCGCCGATCC